GAGGCTGTTTTTTTCCCCCTTGAGACAACGCCGCTAATTACGATGCGTTTTCAAACGCGTGATAACTGAGGTTTTCCAAGCGGAGGGCTCCACCACACCCTGTGGGAGTTTGCTCCAAGGACAGGCCAACTCTGTGTGTCTGTGGTCCCACAGCTGGGAGTTTGCTCCAAGGACAGGCCAACTCTGTGTGTCTGTGGTCCCACAGCTGGCATGAGACTCGCCCTGGCTCTGCTGACCTCCTCCTCCAGTGAGAAAGACACTGCTCCCACCAACCTGCGACTCTGCAGACCAGTCATTTCAGCTGATAGAAAAAGAGCTACTTCTCACCCCCTTGCCTTCAGCCCACTCAACCCCAATGACATTTCTTTGTCACGTTACTAAAGGCAGGCGAGCACTTCCCAACCCAAAGCTGACGAGATGTTACCCCTGGCCCTCAGCAGAAGTGATGAACTCAGGCGCAGCACCAGGCTCATGTGGCTGCTCAGCCTGAAGTTCAGAGCTCACTCACATCCCAGCAGCTAAAATGAATTAAAAACGCTCAGGGTGCACTGAGGAACAGACTCCTTGCTTGAAATCCCGACGACACGTCACAGCACGAGTAAGAAAATGCGCAAATGTATTACCTCGTCCCTTAACTCTCCAGGAAGCTGCGTGGATTCGTGTCGCTGCTGGACTTCACCTTCTAATGCCTGATGAAAGTGATCAAACTCACCCTTGCACAGAAAGAGATCTGAATAAATCAACGCCACCAGGAAGCACCCTGCCACATATCCCTCGACACCAGGGTGCGAGATTGATGGTTTCAGCGTATCTCAATTAGAAGGGGGTTTGTAATCATACCTTGTATTTGAAGAGAACATTCCTACCAGAGTTATCTCAAACCCTATCGAAGTCCCTCAATTGTCTCAGCTAGCACTGGGAACTCTGGGGGTTTGCTATTTTTTTTAATCTAAAGAAAAAAACGATCGTCTCTGAGGCATCTTCTTTTTAGGGCCTGTGGACTCAACTTTGCCCAGAGAAACATGTTGGTGCTGAACACGCTCAACTCACTCTATCAGAGTACCACTGGGTTCCTTCCCTGTGTCCCTCCCTTTCGAAGAACTTTTCAAGTGAACAGACAAACCAGCACCAAGGATTTGCTCCAGAGGTTGGCTGCCATTATTATTATTATTTTGCACCTTGGCTCTACAGAGGTGAGCGTGCTCATACACACCACGCCTTCTCCCGGAACTCACAAAGCATTTTCTTTGCGTATATATCAGAGGCAACTACACAAAGACTCATGTTTGTATTTTTGCATTAGCAAGGAAGCATCAAAAAAAAATCAATTATGCTTGGGCGGTCTAGCTAAAAGCTGCATTCATTTCTGTAAGAGACAGGAACATATCTGGACCTCCAGTCTAAGAGTGAAAAGAGTACGTAACAGGTCATTTGAGAATAAGAAAGGCTCCATGTTCCAGTAAACAGAGTAACAGGAGCAATTAACCTATTAACCTGTAACACTGCTGTGACTCTAATGATTCTGTAAAACAAGTGTGATGCTACCCCAAACAATGGAGTGCTTAATCAACAGTTTCTAGTTCACAAGCACGGGCAGCAATGACATCATCCAGGGAGAATAAACAGTCTGCTTTAGAGAAATTGTCTTCCTGGAAAATACATCTCCAACGTGTCTTTCACCTGGTTCTAAAGAACACAGGGAGAAGGAAAAAAAAAAAAAAAAAAGCATCCAGTATACGAACTGCAGAGAAGTTGTGTTTGATTAGAAATGAGGAGCATTAAGCTTAAAAAGTGTTTTGATGATGCAAGAACACATTTTCCTTTAATAAGTCTCATTCTTCTAAACAGTTGCATGAAAAATGTGTAAAAATCAGGTGTCTGCAGGCCTGTCTACCTACTAGCGGGCCCTGGCACCATGTACCAGGAGGAATTCAGGCAAATCCCACCTTGTTCTTCACACACAGCCAGGCTGTATTATTTCCACAGCCCAGATCTTGCTTTGGCTCTGCCCTTCACCCAGCCCAGCTGCAGCAACATCTTTATCCAGAGGTCAAGACCAGCCTCGTTACAGAAATGCGGTGATTACAGGATCATTAGGAAGAAAAGGCTTGAGAGGAGACTGCTCTCCAGCCAGAAGACAGGCCAGTAAAATCCCAAGTGGCACAGAAAAGGCAGATAAAAAGGCAATTGTTCATTGCCACTTAATAAAAGAACTGGAGAGCATCGAACAAAGCCAGGAGATGGTAGGTTGAAACAAAGGAACTTCACGGGACAGTAGCTGAACTGTCAAACTCCTCGCTAGAAGATGTTGAGGATATTAAGAAAATTGCAGGGATTTAACAAGCAGCCACATTCACGGAAGATAAAAAAAATGATCACGGACCACGAGACACAACAAGAGCCGCGCTGGTTCGGGCACTGTGCACCGCTGGAGGCAAGGGGAGCATTTCTGAGGAACCGTTTGCCCTCCTACAACAACCGGCTTCTGGTCAGATGGTGCAACCCAGCTCAAACCAAGGTGAGCTGTGCAGCGGGTCTGCCAAGCCTCCCTCCTTCAGCGAGCTCGCCAAGAAGCTTTTCAACTCCCAATCGGTTTTCTCAGAATAAAACCCCAGCAAGGCAGTGACAGGAGATGAGACGGCAATCATGTGCCCAGTCTGCAAGTTTTCCACCTGCTTGTGTCCCAGCCAGGTCACCAAATCCTGACGGTCCTCTCTGTCCCCAGGAGGGCTCTCCTGGGAATCCTGGCCAGTTGCTCTTTGCAAAAACAATAAAAAACCTTAAGACACAGCCAGTCCTCTCTAAACTGGCAATCATCAAGTCCTGCTGTGGAATTTATTTACTGAGTTTGTAAGAAGAAATTTGTTTAACTTTCATCCTCTAGCTCATCTGCAAGAAGACAAGGGAAGGGTTTTAACCTCACCTTAGTATAGGGAACCTCTCTAAGTATAGGGAAAGTTTTTACTTAAATTAATGTTTTTCAGAAGAACTCAGTCATCTGAAATTAAATGCTGGATCATCAGGAAATCTGGATTAGAAGAAAGTCATTATCACCCTGTGAAGATCCTCAGACCAACTATATCACAAACTCTTCTACATTCTTTCTGTTAAAATGAACCCTATTCACCATCCCTATGCAAGACATGGAAGTAAATCAAGTGTAAAGACACAAGTGTGAAAACAAATACAGAAATCAACCTCAGCATTAAGAATCCACAGTGTCTGCTCAGGTAGGAGAAATATTTTTCATGAAAGAAACACCCCCAAGACATCCTTCTTCGCCAGCTTTCGGTCAACCTGAGCAGCTGAAAGGGAGTACCTGAAGCAGTGGCACACATAGTCCCTCTCCGTTGCTGTGGGAATTCCACTTCTGATCTGCCATCTCCAGTTTCTCCAGCAGGGTCGTTCTTTCCACCAGTAAATAAGCAATCTGTTCGCTGGCGTTACTGTGAGTTATTTCGGTCAAGCCTTCCTGTTCCAGCATCTCCTCGACCTCCTTCAGCTGAGCTTCTGCAAGACAAGGCTTTCTGTGAGCAGAGGAACAAACAAAGCCCGATTCCTTCCAGATTTGCGTCCCGGCTCCTCTAAACACTCCGCGTCATGACAGCCCCGGTGCTCATCAACCGCTCAGCACACATTTAGTCTCTTCCCCTACTTCTCACCTCCCTTTCTGCCTCCTACCCCCTGTTCTTTTCTCAGCCCTGTTGCCTCTGTCCAACGTTTCTGATCTATCCCCACATTTCTGCCCACATCCACTGCCCTGTCTGCCAAGCAAGCAATAGGACCCGCTTCGTCTCAACTGAGTTCTCTTGACTTCTTTTAAGTGAGGGAGTTATTACAACCATTTTCTCCCAGCCAGCAGCCAAGTTCCACCATCAGCCTGGTTATCCTCGACCCTTTTAACCCTTAATACATCTCAGTGGAAACCAAACAACAGATCAAGAGAGAAACCAAACAGATGGACGTGCAACAATTTTCTTTGGAAGAAGGGATGCAAAATACCACATCACTCACATAAGCAGAACATCACTTTTTTCCTAAGGGCTATTTGGTAGGGTGGTAGACCTGATTATCTTTTCTTTTTACACATGTAGAGCAGCACCTGGAGCACTGCACGCAGCCCCAGGTACAGATCAGGATGCTGGAGCCCGTGTGATGTGGTAGGAAAACACGGCAGGGACCCAACGAGGGCCCAAGGCAGAGAAGCAGCATCTCATGACACAAAGGGACCTGAAATAGTTCTTAACACTTGATCTTAAAAATCACTCCCTGAACAGTGTTCCTGACTCAAAACCAGCCATAAATCCAGGCTAAGGACTGCTCCTGCTAACACACACTTCTTGCCTGTAGGATTTCCTGTAGGATTAAAAGGAGAAAAGAAAAATCCTTTTAGAATTGAACTGTCAACTCTCAACCATTTATCCCAAAACCACAGCTAGAAAAAACTTCAACATTAAACAAGCTCCAAGGAAACAGATGACAACAGCGTTTGCAAGACAAGTGGGTTTATGGCTGGGCACCGTCATGTTTGCGCAACAAACAGCTGTTAAAAAAAACAACCACCTCATTTGCACAGTTGGAAATTTATCTGTCAGGAGAACATTGAAAAATTTTTGGTATCCTGATGGTCAGGGCAGCAGCTCCTGCACTGGATCCAACAGTGGAAGGATTTTTCAAAATCTCAGTATATAATTCCTATTAAAAAAACCCAAACAACAACAAATCCTGTTCCCAAAGTCTAGCCCAAACCAAGTTATAAAGGTTCCCAAGTGCCATAGGATGGGAAGAGGGGGAACTGTGGGTTTTACATGGAAGAAGGAGGGATATCCATACTCTTTCACTGCTTTGAGTGTAAGACATCTGAAGGCAAGCAGAGCACACAGTCCTCATACTCTTACACAGGACACACACACACAGAGCTCTGGATAAGCCTGTTCCTCACTTGCACATACCAGGCTGAAACAGGGGACCTGGCATAATCACATCCTAAGGCTCAAATCAATCACATGTTTCCACTCAGCGTTTTGCAGCCAGCTCTATGCATGGAAAACACCCTGCGGTTTCCCACTCGCCTTCCCCTGTCATTATAAAAATATAAATTGCTCAATGAAGAGGTCAAACACGGGCAACCTGCAGCTTTGCTGCATCAAGCAGAGCAAAATATTGTGGTTTGCAGTTGAAAAATAGCTACACATGCATTCTGAAGAGCCCACAGCTCACACTCACCTGAAAATCTCCCTTGTAGTTTCCTCCCAGTTTTGCCAAATCCCATGAGAAATAAGCTGAAAGCTGCTCTGCTTTACGGCCAAAAATGAGACAATCATCTCGCTTTAGGACCAACACTCTGAACTCACACGTCTGGCTCCTGCGTCAGCAGTTTCATTTGCAAATACTTCCCTTACCCTCAACCTGCAAAACAGCGTTAAGTGGTGTAGTTTGGGGCAAACAGGACCTAGAAATTACCCACAGGCTGAACAGGTAAAAAGATTTGTGAGGTTGAGGGGAGTCTGTCACACACAGCACACATCACCTGCTTGTAGAAGCCCACTCACTTCCTACAAATGGCTCAAAACACTTTTCCTGCCACATCCAACATCTGAGAAGAGCAAAGTCCTCATCGAAGCGACATTACGTCAGCGCATCGTCGTGCTCCCACCAGCTCCACCTCTGCCCTCACTTCTTTGGAAGCGAGTTTTACATTTGCAAAGGTGTCTTACCCCAGGGAGTTTCTCAGAAATCAGCACTTCACCAGTATCCTCACACCCACAGCAGAAGCCACATCCATTTGCCCACACTGGGTACGTTTAAGCTCTACAGCTACAATAAGTAAGCTCAGGCCACAACTATTTATTCCTTCTCATTTTTTAAACACATCAGGGCAAGCCCTCGACCGTGTCATGTTTTACTGCCATCACATTTGTTTTTCATAAAGGCTCATGCAGCACACGAGTTATCGATCCACCCTCCAAAAACACTGAGGCCTATTCAACGAGAACCATCGGAAACGGATTAGGAACTGCCTCGAGGAAAGGAAAAATTTCACTCTGGGCAGAGGTACCAAATGAGGTAAAGCTCGGATCAATGGCCCAACATAAACCCAAGAGGGGCTGCTCTCTGCAGGAACCCTTTGAGCCTGTTTCAGGCAAGAAGTGTAAGCAAAAACTTACTTTTTTTCATCACCAACAGCTTTTAGCAGATCAAATTGCGCCCAGTGATCACCAGACCAAGCAGAGCTTCTGTTCTGTTTGGCTGTTTTTGTAAGAGAGAGGACACTCAGCCCTGAGAGCCCACCCAAGCAACCCCAGTAGATCAGAGTCTGCCTTTCCACAAGATCTTTCTTCCAGCCCCATTTTTGGCAGCATCATCTTGCCCTACTCAAAACAACCAGTTGTCCCAGAAAAATAACACTGGGAGCAGGATCTAATTGCAGATCTTCAAATCTGTCCTACACCCCAAAGGGCTCAGGAGGCATCTCCAGGTTGGTTTGTACCAACTCTGGTGAAAAGCAGAGGCCCAGGGAACAGAAACCACAATGGAGCACCAAACCCTGCAGCAGAGGTAGGTTAGAGACCGGGAGCAGGCAAAGGCCTCACAAATCTTTGAGAGCATGCAGCAGCTAAAACACAAGCACGTCCATCCGCTCTGGGCGGTGTTTTGTTTGTGGGTTTTTTGTCTGAAAAGATTTATCTGCAAAGCAAAAAGTCAGTCCCTCAAGAAAACTGTCTGCAAGCATCCCAGGGCTGGCATCCCTCACTGCAGAAGACAGCGCTTCATCCGCTGCCCGGACCACTAAATTATCAATACACATCACAGAACTGCACCTAATGCCATCAGCAAGGTGGAAAAAGTCTTAAAAACCAAACTCTGACACTGATAGCCCTAAGGCAACTCCTCCAGAAAGCTGCACAGAAATGCCACCTGGCACCAAAGCACCGCAGAGCTGATGGTTCGCTCACAATTAGCAATCCACCAGGGGAATGGACGTGGACCTCTGGGTTCATTCGAGTGTTAATCATTGAGCAACCGCCACAAGAATTCCTAAAACATGCAAAAAGTCCAAAGGAGAAGAATCACCACGAGGAAATAAACGCAAAGCGAGTTTTTGAGGCGTTTTCGTCGTTCGCCTGCCACCTCGTGGGGAAGAGGAGAAGCAGTAATAAGGCTTTCCACTACAGCGGTGCTCCCGAAGGCTCAGTAGTCATGTAAACCCTTGCATTGTTAAATCCAAGCATTTTCAACACTTAAAAGATGGTTTTGCGTGCCCAGAGGAATCAGATTTTGAGGCAGTTCTTGAGCACACCCATCTGTGAAAAGTCTCTTCCATCCGACATGCTCCCTGAAACCCCCAGGCTGGACAACACTGAGCAGACTCAAAATTGCAATTAACTTCCTCAAACTCCTCTATTTGCTGCCCCAAATAAAACTCGTCTCATAAAGAAACTTCAAGCTGTGCTATCACCCTCAATTTTACCTTAGTCCCAGGATAATACACATCATAAAAGGAGGAACTAACAATACAATGTGCTATTAGTAGTACTCAAAGCACAACAGACAAGGAAGACTAAAGAAAACTGAGAACTACACCCAGCAAAATAGATTTGCCCTTACTGGAAATTATTCTAGACTTGGAGAGAAAAGCAAATCATTTGAAGTGAAGTGTTTTAAACAAAATGACTAAACTAAAATAAGCGCACTGGACAGGTTTTGAAGCACCATCACAAACACACCACTGTTCCCCGAGGCTGTTTTAAAAAATGTGGACTTTGTTTAAACCAAAGCCAACAGCAAATTCACTGCCTTCAGTGCGAACACAGCTCGACGCTCCATTGCTTTGAGGAGTCACTGTCAAATTTATAGAGTCGGAAAACAAACAGCACTTTCCATTCTGTTCTTCAAACAGCCTCTGGAAGATGCTTTAGAGCAACAACGGAGCCCCACGATGTGAGAAACTGCCCGATTCACTGAACAAAGGCAGTAAAAGCAGGCAAGAACCTCTAGGTCAAGTAGGTTCTGATATTTCATTAACCCTTCTGCCAACCTCTCAAACAACACACGACGCACGCTGCTCCAGCAGAACTCCCTGAGAAACGCTGCTCTGCTCTCAGGGAAGCTTTAGAGCAGCCCTGCTGAGACCCACACACCACTACCTGTCAATGCATCAGCTTGGACCATGTCTCAGAGGGAAAGGATTCCCCTGCTGCAGCCGCAGCTGCGTCAGCTCCAGCCTGAGCTGTTGGTTTTCTTTCTCGTACTCGGTGGTGATAGCATCGCGCTCCTCCGTCAGGCTGCGGATGTGACCCACATAGCTTTCCACCTGGAAACAAAGAAAACATCACTACACCTGAATGCATTTACCAACGCCTGGCCAGTGAGTTGTTGGCACAAATAGTGCCTGATGCCCTGATATTCACAGGGCACCGCTTCTTTGTGCCTTCATAACACCTGCGGGTGTTAAAAACTTGATGGAAAGGTCTGGAAGGCGGG